TGGTGCGTAACCGACGAGTGCGAATAGCTCAGCGGTAACGTCTCAGACTTTAGATGGCACTGGGTGACACGGGTTCGAATCTCAGAAGGGAAATGAGTCCCTTCAAGGTTGCAGATAAGCCTTCCTAACTGGTGAGTGTCGACTAGCACGAAACCTAGGTCCAAAGCTTCCTGCCGATTGCCTCCAACCATCTAATATCATCCCATCAATGTGCACCATGATGGCGAGCTACCTAGAATGGTGGCCACATTGCAGACCTGACCGACAGAATTCACTCTGCAACAAAGAAAGGACTAGACACATCACACTAGTTACTAATGTCCAATCAAGGTAAGTTTAATAATACGGAACTAATCCAAGAAACCACTTCATACAGGCCGTGTGTAACCAGCCACAAGCAGTTGTTCCCTGGGTTCTTCGGTCACGCAAAACTAACCTTCTCTCTGTTTTAGGTACTCTAAGAACCCGAATGGTGACATGAAGGAGATCGTGTGAGTTGAAGGGGGAGATGACATATTATGGGCGATTGTGGACGCAGTGAAGAGGAGAGAAAGAATTAGGAAAATGTGGGGACGTGTTGTTGAAGCCCTATGTTCTACTCGGCACCCAAGGGAATAATGATTACATAATGTGCATTTACACAACACATTTAAGATATTCCGGTCACAAACATATTCACGTACTGGCTGTCATACATACATACAAAAGCAACAGACCATGAGGAATAAAAAAGATTTCATCAGTATAGGTCGAAATTTATTTATGGGGTTATGATCACAAATAAAAGGTAGGGGAATGAGGTAAGCATTTAAACGATAGTGTAACACCTCCTTGTATTCAAAGGTTGGTTTGCAGGGATTCACTAATCAGTTGACATCAGTTTGAGAACCATTGGAAGACAAGCAAAGAGTACCAAACAGCTATCTCGTCCTACTTTGGGACTCTTCAGGTAGTAGGTAACAAACTATACGTCACGAATTGACAGAAATTGAAATTCACGGACAAATGAATCGAATACCAGTGGCTGAATGGTCTACGAGGTTGCCTCGTAACCGTAATGTTCTTGATTCAAACGCCAGTAGGTACCTGCTGATGAAGAGTCCCATACTAGGACGAGACAGCTGGTTGGCTTTCCGATGGTTCCAGTGTAACTGATATCAGGTTGTGATAAGACATCCGACTGTGTTTGTCAATTCACCTGCATTTGTGGTCGTACACGTGTGTATAGGAAGTGTACTTATCGATCAGTCAAGGTCAAGGTCATAGAACACATTCATAAATGGTTGTAAGAAAAAAATCACGTGATTCCATGATCACTAAAAATATGTGTACAACTTCATTTGTAACAAAGTATATTATAGAGACGTTTGATTTCATTAGTGCCTTTAAAGCCTGTATGCGCAAAATAGATCTGGTTCATGAATTTATATTCCTTGAAGCATTGGACATAAAATGGATTAAATCTGTTTTATGTGTTGAACAATTATTTGTCATTACTTCTTAATTCACTTTTGGCATCAATGTTCGTTTTACTTTTACGAATTGGTCACGGATTGATATCATTTAGAGAACCATTGAAAACCAGGGAGTACTGGACAGCTGTTTGATCCACCTAGTTTGGCAATCATCGGCAGTAGGCACCAACTGGGGTTCGAACCCAGGACTTTCCGGTTACAAGGCGAGCGATCTCGTATACCATTCAGCCAATGGAACCCGATTCAATGGTTAGCCCAAGAATTCTAACCTCTACCAATTCGTGATTTAGTGCGATCACCAACCAATGTCATCAGTGGTACACTCATCCTCACTCCCGACTGGATGGACCTCGCTGGTTATGACTTCTCACTAGAACTCCAAGAAACTCCATCCCGAGGCAAAGTCACTAGCAAGCATCAGATTAATTTCCTATAGTTGGTTTGCAAGGATTAGTTTTGTTTTTACGAGTTTTATCACCGATTGATATCAGGATGAAACTCCCTGCCGGTGTTCAATGCTTCTCTAACTGATATCCATCCGTGATCTACTCGTAAAAAGAACAAAAGTAATCCATACAAACCAACTATAGAAAAGTTTATTTTAGTTAATAATATATTCACCCCTTTTATTTGCTTACCTCATCTGCCCACCTCTTATTTGTGAGATGGTGACCCTATAAACGTTTCGACCTATAGTGATAAGAAACATTTTGAATCCTTTATCCTTTGTTGCCTTTGTATATGAATTAGGCATGACTACCAGCAGGTATATGTGTTTGTGTGTGTGTGTATGGGGTCAGAATGTCAGAAAGACGTAGCATAAATGCACAGATGTCTGGGTGGACAGGTGTTGAATCATTCCTATTACACGTATTCTTCTCACTTGATTTGATAAAAAAAACCTTCATTCATTTATCGATCTCTCTCTCTCTCCACCCTGCTGTTACATTAGATTTTTCGAACACATTAACACATTAAGGTGGAGGCAATTCAATTCGCTTGTGAAAGTCAGGAAGGGGAACTTCCAATGTTCGACTGTAGGAAAGAAGATTTGAAGTTAAACACTAGTGGTGTGGTGAGAGCTGGCTGTTACTCAGAATTGCTAGACAGTAATTCACGTCAATGTTTATCTCCCAAATATTAGTCATGTGAAAACAAGAACAAAGACTGACAGGAGACTTGCGTAGGCGGATACAATTAGCAGATAGATGATCAGACATTAAAGAAACAGCTGCAAAAAGAGATGCAAGGTTAACTTTCTGTGAGAAACAATCAATCAGAAGACTGCGTTTTTCTGCTAAAAATAATCTGTAATAATGTATATGAAAATCTATAAATGTGTGTTGATTTCCTTAATAAACGATCTGTTGCCTAACTCTTGTCTTCCGTTGTTACAGTGGTTACAGGAAACCCACATGCACATTCAAACAGATATTTGGATTTCCGAGCATCCCATTCTATGTTAGTAAAAATAGGATTTTTGAAATGTTTAAGCAAGAGAGCACAAAAACTAAGTAGTACGAAGGAAAATCTAAGACAGAAAATGAAGCGTATAAGAGAAGGTTTAAAATATCGTAACTACCCTGATAAATTAATCAGGAAGTATGTAGGAAAATATAAAAATAAAATGCATAATAATAGTAGTGATAGTGATAATAATATATTTTATTTTTTTTCATATTTTTGATTTACAGCTTGATTCCACACTGTATTTTTGGTACAAGTATGGAATTTTCAGCATGGATATCTGTAGCCCAAATTTTGCAGGCCGACCATAGATATCAGGTGTGCGTCGGAAGGGGCTCGAACCCCGGACCATGTGCATGGTCGGCGAGAGTCCTAGCCACTGTGCCACCGACGCAAGCATGTCAAACATGCACAGGATAATGACAACACCAACAATGGGGAATTTAAATCATCAGTAGTACTTCCACACTAAGAATTCTGAACAAAGCAAGAATAATAAAAGTGGCATCCAAACTACCCACAAACTCAATTAGAAACAAGCTTTGTCGGTTACAAGATCCTGTGTAGCTACAAAACAAACCACATAAGTTTGTATAATACTCTGCGATGACTGTCACGTCAAACACATAGGTCAAACTAGTAGAACAGGGGCAGTCAGACTAGCTGAACATAAAAAACCTATCAAAATCTAGATTGGTTGTCCCGAATATGATAAGAAATCTACAGAATAGTTCAGCTATACCACCCACTGTATGCAATTACACACAACCATTCAATAGGATGGGATAAGATGACAGTTTTAAAGTCTAATGTCACAGGGTGGAGGGAGAGATTGTTAACGGAAGCTTTATTTATCGGATCAACTGTAAATACGTGTAATAGGAATGATTCAACACCTGTCCAGCTGGATATCTCGAATATTCTACTACCCCAACGACGACAAATAGGAGAGAGCAAAGAAAACTGTGAAACTCAGTTTTCGAAGTCGTGTGATTATAACTGATGATATGATTATGAACAATAAATTGTGTTGGAAACTGTGTCATCCAGTAAATAATAATACTGTCTCCCTGTGGAATAAATCACTTTCGTTTATGTTCATTTGAAGACAGGAATACGCGCTGCACTGACCAATAAGAAAACTCTACAAGATCTCAACTTCGTAGATGATTTATGTCTAATACCACAAAATTGAAGACCTGCAGGCAGGCAGGCAGGCAAAAACCAACACACTAGTTGTAGAAGCAGGCAAGCAGCAAAGATAGGACTCCAGATGTACATAGAGAAGACGGTGGTGAAAAAGAGAACCAACCAACAGCGACAACAAACAACACCATTTCCTATCAACGGGAGATATTTAACAGAGGTCACTTCCTCCATTTATCTAGGAAGCATTGTTTCAACCCCCGGGGAAACGGATGAAGATGTGAACACCAGCCAGTCAGGATCGGAAAGGTGAGATACACCTTCACCAACCTGAAACCAGTTTGGAAATCTTCTTCACTCTGCTTAAATAACAAAATTCGGATTCTTAACATCACGATTAAGTCAGTCAGTTCTTCTAAATGGATGAGAAACGTGGTAAGAGAGTCAAGCAAAGCATTTCCAGCAGCTGGCTGCAGACTTTTATCAACAGCTGCGACCTGATCTGGCTTCATACTGAAGATCGAATGGCCGGTCAGAAAAAATTAGCAACAAGAAACTCTGCAGTGGAACGAGCCAATCAAGAACCTATCACTCAACAAATGTGCAGAAGAAAGTGGAGATGGATCGGGCACATGTTGAGGATTACGTCGGGTTACATCACGTGCCAGACCGGTGCTCGATTGGAACCCAAGAGGGAAACGACGAGTTGAACGTCAGTGTGAGGGTGACATAGAGGAGATGAGAGACTATGCGCAATCGTAGGACCATCCGAAGAAGACCATAGAGAGTCAGGCAAAGTGAATATCTGCTGTTGAAGACTACAATGTAATAAATATCCAGTCACATACAATTTTTAATTATCATCATATCAACTCTGGACTTAATAAAGAAGTGCCCGGGGGGTGGACATACTTGATTCCCATTTCTTTCAATCGACATCCTGTAGCATATGCCTGTCGCCAACCAATATCCGTGAGTACTTTCTCTTCTGATTTCTTTTTATTTACATGATATTGTCCATGACGTATAAATATAATTAGCTTATAATATGATTGTTGCTGATGATGCTCGTGACTGGTGTTCAACTTTGAATCAGCCTTCAGATCACTGCGTACACCTATAGAAAGACAAGAAAAGCTTTCATTATTATTGATTGATACATTAAAGGCGCCAAAAGGTGCGACACACAACGACGACTAGGATACTGCCTGGACACCTACTTACGCCGAAGTAGGTAACTGTCCTAAAGAACCACTGCCTTCCCGAGTCTTTGACTTAGAGTTTGATCCATAATGCAGTGAAGTAGTAGCAAGAGCTGCGTTCCCAAGGATTCCAGTGACCAAAACAGGTCCATACGCTATTCGGTTCATTCGTGTTCTTGAGCCAAAGTACACCGTAGGTTTGGGATCAGGGCTTTCCAACACCTTCTGTAGGTAAACCTGCATGTACATTAGTTCGGTTGTAAGCTCTAGACGTTAGCATTTACACTTTGACACTTGTAAGGAACATCACCAGCGCGTGAACATAGCTTACTATGGCCAAACGAAAGAGACAGAGCATTTCTTGAAAAAGACCAAAGTCTACACATCATTGGTCGTATCAGATGGTTGTTCATGCAGGCAAAAAAGGTTTTGAAAAGAAAACTACACAATTTCGCCATAAACAAATAGATGACATAACTTACCATGTGATTTATCCCAATTATAGTTCCACTGTTGAATTCTCAACTCAGATCCAGTAGAATGTAAACCATAGTAAATTGATGCTGCAGTCAGCAGACGAAATCCTTGACTTTTGAAGTATCGCATTACAATGTGGTGACGCACACATATACAGGTACACTCACTCACAAGTTAGAGAATAATCTGTAGACTTTAGTCACCATACGATCTGAAACAGAAAGGTAAATTTATAGGCAAGATTAACGGAAGAAACATATGAAAAGGAGATCAAGACTCATAAATCACACACCTTTTTTCATGACAGTTGACGACATGTTCAGAATATACGCTCCGCCTACAACTACACTGGTATGGAGGGGGGGGGGTGTTAATTCATGAAGTCGTGAAGCTGCATCGACTGAGATGTAAAAGACATGCTTTACATATAACAAGTCACCACCTTCCTCACTGAGTAGTGTTAGCTGACATAGCATGCGGCTGAAAATTAGTTAAGGAGGGAAGGAGGGTCAAGTCAGAACATGATATTATTCTATGAAACCTTAGAGTGTTTAGCTTAAGCTATATAGGGAGGTGTTGACTGTATGACTGAGATCCTGAAACTGTTAGGAACGAATGGCTTAAGAGTGTTGGTGACACAGTTAAAAATCATTCTCAGTGACTGAGATGCATTCGTATCCATTAAATACTCCTTGTTCTCCGTTAAATTCTTTTATCTCCCATATTGATTATCTTCGCATTGATTTTATTTTTTCTCCACATCTGTGTGCTTTGTGAAGCATAGTAACTTGAACTGCCATATTTTAGTGCCATGAGTTCTATTTTGAAAATCTAACCAGTTTTCAGTAGGACTAGATTATCGAGTGTTGTTTTTCATTTAACTTGGAACACAAAAATGCGACCGGTTTGTTTGTAGTTATGAATTAGTACAGTGAAGTGCACCGTTTGATGTACTTCTTTATGGCAATAAAGACAACCATAAGTGTAGTATTAATAGACGTCTGAGCAAATAAACTCTATCATATACAAAAAGCCAACAGATGGCATAGCTGTCTGCAGCACTAGTGAGTTACGGGGGGGGGCGGGCGGTTCAATTCCATCGAAGTTATAGATATACTTTGCTGACTATGGGTGCCAATAGGCATGAAACTTAGGTGGAACGTCCTGTACCGTCTAAAAAAATGCTTCATTAAAACTTCCAACCTTTCAGTTAAAAGAGAAATAACTTGAACAGTTTCAAAATTAAGAATAACTACAAAAAATAACCAATTAACTAACAAAATTTCAACGTAGGAACTTCAACACTCTTCATGCATAAGTTAACTACGTTGAGTGTGTACGCTGTAGATATATAAATATATGAGCGACCTCTTTATTTTTAAACATAATCAATGACGATAGCACTCGGGACAAACCATCTGTAAATTGATATATAAAAAATAAATATCTATTCATGAAACAAGACTACTTAAGAAATACTATGAAACGTAGTCAACGAAAATTTTATTTATCATTTAAGAACCAACTGCCTACATGAGTACAGAGAACATGATAAAAGATAAAACAGCAAGTCATGTGTTAAGCATACTCAGTTAGCATTTTCTTCGGGCGCACTCCCGAACGTGGGACAATGCCCCTAAGCCTGCTGCAAACATTCTGCAATGTACCCTAACTTTCTGCAACTGACTATAGCCTGGGACAACACGCCTACGGTTATGCATTGAACCCTTATTCGATAGCTAACATTAAGGCAAACCTATTATGCATACAACTCGTCGCAGCAAACTAGCACAAGCTAGCTCGATTCCCTGCATTTATAAATGCAATGAATTAAAAATTCAAACAACTCTACCTTACTTCGTTTCAACAGACCCACAGATACACAAAGTTTAGACCTATTAAGAGCCACAACTAAAATCCATAGTGTGTAATCGGTTCGTCGTACTCGCCCAGCTGGACAGTACTTTACTAGAATGTATCTGGGTGCATAGGAACGTAGTCCTATGTTCATTCTTGGCTGTATAAACGCCTGAATGCACTTTTTGCTGTTATTGTACTTAAACTCATGTTTTTAAACCACAAAGGCATTATACTTATAACGTATATGTTAACGTAAATTTGTGCTTGGATATTTCATCGTAAAGCCAAGTGGTAAATCGGCAGAGATATGCATCAGCCTAACATGTTTTCCCCCAAAACAATCACCCGTTGTCTCCACTGTAAGAATGTCTGCCCCGCTCGCTAGTAGGGCTGTAAACTTCCAGATGGATGTGATCTTGCCCAGCTAGCATTTTCTTCGGGCGTACTGCAGACTTTTTGGGGCAAAAAACTTTGGGTAAATCTACTTACGTGGGACACTGTCCCGAAGTCTGCCCCAAAATGTCTGCAATGCGCCCTAAATCTGCCCCAAAAAGTCTGCAATGCGCCCGAAAAAATGCTGGCTGGGTGCACACACAGTTTTCCCAGCATATCAAGAAATTAGCTGGTTTATTATACTTATTATAATTAGCACAGTAAATTGACTCTTTCATTGTTCATCTTTCTGTATTTTACGGTATCACACTTTCTGTCGTTTAATTATTACTCTGCTATTTTATTTCAGTTGGTATTACTATTACTAATAATAGTATAAAATTGTAGTAATTACTACAATTTTATACTTTATGCATATTTTTCACCGTATTGCATACGGTATTTTGCTATGTAGCTGCTGTAACAATCGTTTTATTATTATTATGTAGTGTGAATTTATAATTTTTTGTCGTTTTTGAGTAAATTAGATGCAATATTGTACTGAATGCTGAAAATTCCTTGCTGTATCATTAGTACTGTTTTTGGAATAAAGCTCTCATTATTATTTATAAACAGTTCAACACATAAAATTTTTTCACACAAGTGCTATGCGACTACTTTGTCAAAAAAGTTAGACAAAAGCTTTAACAATTCAATTTCATCACCTTTTCACTTTTCGCCCAAGGATGACCTTGATGTAAGTTTCCCGCCTTCAATACCCATTGTACAGATTCAGATTCAGATGATAAGGATAGAAGGCTCTTGTGGCCTGTGTTAATCCTTGCAAAGTATATCTCTGCAGAGATCTAACTTCTCTTTGAAAGCGTTCACCGATGGAGCTGATACTACTGAATCAGGTAAGGAGTTCCAATCGTTGACCACTCTGTGAGAGAATCTAAATTCTGCACGTATTTTAATCGTCCTTGGTTTGAGCACCTTTTTGCGGTGACCCCGTAAATGTATCCTAGAAGGGGAGAAAAGGTTAGAAAGGTCAGTTCCTAAATCACCCTTAAGTATACGGTATGCTAAAATTAAGTCGCCTCTCTTCCTTCGGTATGATAACGGGAAGAGATTTAAATGCTCCATCCTCTTATCATAAGGAAGGTGTGAGATACCACTAACTAATTTTGTTCCTACTCTCTGTACTCTTTCCAGAATATGTGCCTCCTTTTTGAAGCATGGACTCGTCGCTTGTATGCAGTATTCTAGATGAGGCCTGACATATGTTGCGTAGAGTATTTGGAACATGCCCTCGTCTAATCGTTTGAAAGCCCTTCGAATTGCCCATAGCATTCGAAAAGCTTTAGCTGCGGCTGCATTGCAATTTGCAGTTGTTTTCAAATCATTGCTGACAATGATTCCTAGGTCCTTCTGTTCGTTAACATCAGGTAGTTCTGCATCCCCTAGGGAGTACGACGTATAAGACTTCTGACCTAAGTGCATTACCGCGCTTTTCCTAGCATTCATTTCCAAACTCCATAGGCTTGACCACTCAGCTAATTTATCTAAATCAGTTTGTAGGGCCGACCTATCCTCGTTATTGTTTACAGTTTTCCATATCTTAATGTCATCTGCAAATAATAATGAAGATGAAGAAAGAATCCCTGGTAATTCGTTAACGTATAATAGGAATAGCAATGGACCTAATACAGTTCCCTGGGGCACTCCACTGGATACTGCTTTCCATCCTGATAGTACACCGTTAACTCTAACCTTCTGCCTTCTATCCATTAAGTAATCTCTAAACCACTCACATAGGCATTGGTCTAGTCCGAAACCTTTCAGTTTACTAAGGAGACCTAAGTGGGATACTTTGTCGAACGCCTTGCTAAGATCAATAAAAACCACGTCCAACAGATGGTCCCTATCTCTGGCCTCAACCCAGTCTTCCCTAGCCAATAGTAGGTTTGTCAAGCAGGATCGTCCTGGTCGGAATCCATGCTGTTCCACAGCCAACAAGCCATGTGTTTCAACATAAGCTAATAGTTGATCCCTTATAATAGTTTCCAGTACCTTTGCAATAATGCATGTCAGACTTACCGGCCTGTAGTTAGATACCAATTGCCTATCCCCGTCCTTGAAGATAGGGCTTATAATGGCATCCTTCCAGTCCCTGGGTAGCTTAGCCTGCGTCAGAGACATTTGGAAAATCTCCGTAAGCGGAATATATATTATATCCGCCAAGGAAATTAACAGCTTAGGGTGAAGTCCATCCGGCCCAGGTGATTTACCTGGCTTCAGTTTAGACAGTAGTTTGAGAACCTTTGTGTGCTCTACCACAATTGAGGGCATCTGAGTGGCGATGGCAGTGACCTCGCCATATCCCTGGGTGGTACTATCAGACGAGAAGACGTCACAGAAGTATTCAGAGAGGTTTTCAGCCTTTCCTTCGTCTGACTCAGCCGCTTCTCCACTAATGGTTATGAGTGACGGTATACCACTGCTAGTTTTAGTCCTACGTTTAATATACGAGTAAAACCTTTTTGGGTAATGAACGCAATCTAGTACTAATCGTCTCTCGTACTCTATACGACTCTTGTTAATCGCATACTTACAGAGGTTTCGAGTTTTGCGGTAGTCTTTCTGGAAGTTTTCCCTTCCTGTCATAACAAATTGGTCCCATAAGTTCTTTCGCCGTCTTAATAACCTCCTTATTTCACTAGTGATCCAAGGAGGTTCATGCGACGGCTTTCGAGGAGTGTACCAAGGTATAAAAGGTGAAGTGACACGATCTAGTGTATTCCTAAATCCTACCCAAGCTTCCTCGACAGTCTGACTTGTATCAACTGACCAGTCAACCGCAGTTGCTGCGTTCCGGATTCCTTGTATATCCGCTTTCCAAATGTTTGGACGAGCAGATTTTGGCCTGTGCATGAGAGAATGAATCCTAAACGTAAAAGCAATGACTATGTGGTCACTGCTGCCAAGCGGCGGAAGGCACCTAATGTTACCAACGTCCTCCTTCTGGTGTGTCAATACCAAGTCTAGAGTAGATGGATCATGTTCAGGGTGATACCGTGTTGGTGCATGCATATGTTGCACGAGTGCACATTCAAGCACTGTCAATGTGAGCTCCCTATTGAAACAGGTATACAAACTAGTGGAGTTTAATTCCCCCCAATTAATATGTGGAGCGTTAAAGTCGCCAACAATCAGACACCTATTTCTACTACCCCACGCCCTCAAGTGATTTAGAACGAAGTCATCAGCTTGGCTAGCAGGACTTCTGTAAATAACTCCGATCGTTAAAGTGCCTTTGTTTAAGTTAATGATGCAACTTGCGGCTTCACTGGTGCCGCTGTCATGAGCTTCTGACAACGTTGACCTGATCCCTATGTCATCCCGGATGTATAGAGCAACCCCCCCACCTTTCCGACTACTTACTCTGTCTGCTCGTATGCAGATATACCCAGGTATGAGTGGAGTTAAGTCTACACCCACTAACAACCACGTCTCAGTGATAGCAATTACATCAGGTTGTAGTCTTTCAGATAACTCTCCTAATTCGGCGAGCTTATTCCTAAGACTACATGCGTTCGTATAGCACAGGTTTAAGAGTTTTAGTTTTTGTCGAGGATGCAGGGCTATAAGCAGGGATCGGACCCTTTCTGAAAATACACCTTGGCCTCCGTGTCTTGTTTTCAGCTACTACAACATAAGTACATTCATAATAATGATAATTAATATTTCATATAAACTTGTAAGTTTATACAATACGTAGATAGTTAAACTGTCACCTTCGAACTACAATTTTCACCCCGAAGTATGCCCCATGCTTTGAACGTTCATTCTGGTGTTTTGACCTGCCTTTGGTCGGCAAAGGAAAGGTACTATGGGAGTTGTGGTACTAAGAACTTGAGCCGCTACACAATGTGATTCGCGTAAATGCCAACATTCCATCATTTCCAAAAATGAAATACAGTTTACAGTTTACAATTTATTTAGGATAGTAGGCTATATGCCTGTGTTAATCCTTTCGATTTATTGCATACAGGAGGTCCAATCTCGCCTTGAATGAATCAACGGATGGCGCTGATACGACGTGTTCCGGTAGGGAGTTCCGATGGTTCACAATTCGATGCGAAAAACGGATTTCCAGACGCAGACGATTCGACCGTGGTTTTTGGACCTTGAGGTGATGTCCTCGCAATTGGTTGGTGCTAGAAGGAAGAAATAATTTAGATAAATTAGCTCCAAAATCATTTCTTAGGATACGGTATACTAGTATTAGGTCACCCCTAAGTCGTCTGTATGACAGTGGAAATAAACCCAGTCGACTTAACCTCTCCTCATATGACAGGGTTGAGAAACCCTTTATTAGCTTAGTTCCTACTCTTTGCACCCTTTCTAATATAGTTAGGGTAGATTAAGGTGTGGCGTTTCCTTTGTGTCGTGTGTTCTAGCATTTGCGTGTCTGACAGTAACGTTCGCACACTTCAAAGGGCTGGTAAGGTGCATCCATTCCTTGAGCTTGTCAACAGGTCGCTGAGACCGGTTCGTAATATAGGCATATCTTTCTCATCCATAGGTATCCTAAGGTTCCTTGGGTGTTCATTTCGAGAACCACGGGAGATTCGATGCGTCTATGTCATTTGTTTACATACAGGATAAACATGAGAGGGTCAAACAAAGTTCCTTACACTAAACTGGAGCGTTGTCAGGGAAAACACTGTCAGGTGTTACCTCGCTTTAGTTCTCCTGTCTGAAAGGAATCCGTGGGGGATCAAAGAAAAATCGTCAGATCGGTCGAGCCCTCTTACCTTTGCAAACTGAAACATGTGGTGGACAACTGGATATTGGAGCCACAAAAACTCAAGGAGGTAGTTTCGTGGTTCATTTTCTGTAATAGCTATAAATTCAGTGGTCATAGCAATCTGCCCATCAGAATAGATGAGCTTGGTCTAAGAGTCAGGCGGCAATAAGGCCAAAGCTCAGATCCAGACAGGAGAGATAGCCACACAAGAGTGCTGGAAAATATTCCTAGTTCAAGCCGAAAGAAAGAGATCTCAGATCTGTTCAAATAGCCTAAGTAGGGAGAGTGGTGCATGCATCAGATATGATAGGGGTCACAAGTGTGAATCGCTCCGATCTGCAAGACATCAACATGCATTTTTTTGACAGCGAGAGAATTAAACATGAATTAAGATTTCCAATATTAAGAAATTAACTTCAAAAACAATAATGATTGCACATATCTAAATTATAAAAACATGCTTTTGCTTCTAACATCTAAAAGCTTGTTCAATTTCTTGTCAAGATGCGATCCGACGGGCCGAATTTGCCAGACATCTCACAGGGCAGTATATCCAACAGGTTCTAATCTTTCAAGCCACTTCTTTCCGAAATATCACTTATATAATTCACGACAATCCTTCTATCTAATCAATATCATACTCTATTTTATCTGAACTCCCTAGGCCTTTAATAAAGCTGAAGTTTGCACTTTTCATTCGCTCGCTTATAGTCTGGTTGCTTTGATGAAGAAAACGTTATAACAACAATACCCTTGTGTGAGAATAACTGTATTTTCATAGAAAACGTCATAGTTTTCCATGGTAAGACCAATATGTTTAGCGCTGAAATTTGTAAATCTGTACTACCATTTCAAGTACTCGATAGCTCCTGGTTGCATTTATCTTGTAAATGTACTTCCAGTTTGATTTGTCGCTTAACTTCGATGACGACTCTAGTGAAGGGTTTACAATCTAACATTTATCAGAAACTATTCT